ATTTTATATGATGGATTAAGAACACAACTGTCATATGATAGTGAGTACACTCTAAAAAAAATAGGTATTCTCGAAAACCCTTAGAGGGTTTCCGAGTTTGTTACTATAGGAAACCCTTTAAGGGTTTCCGAAGAAGGGTTTCTGAGACCTCGGAAACCCATAGTACCCATTATAGCTAAACCTCAAATACCTCTTCGGAAACCCAAAGAAAAGGTTTCCGAATGCGGTTAAAGCTCTACCAAACTAGCCTAGACAGGAATCCATCACTTATCTGCCAGCAACAACAAGCATTCACAGCGGCCACAGACATTCAATAAGGTTCTGTTGTGAATCTATTCACACCAAGAAATAACTAGAACAGTCATTAAAGGTCAGCAACACACTGAATTTAGAGAAAAACTTTAATTATCCAGATGCACTTCGTCGCACCATTACCAAACCATCAAGAAGCTAAATATAACGGCCTTCTCCACCTAAAAAAATGAACAAAAGAAACAATTTTTCATCGAAAATCATCTAAACTTACCCGTTTTCTTCACATTCAACCACATCAAAACTAATGAGCACCCTTTCGCATGTAAAACATAATTCAACCAAAATAGTTAAAGAACGAATTTCATAGCTCATCAAACATTAACCTACGACAATTATCTAAAAATAAAAATAAAATTATATTTTAATTTACTAAATTGATTCAAACTCACCCGACCTATTGCGAGAAAACAATTCTAAGGATGAAAATAAAATTTCATTTTCGTACAATAATTTGAACAAACTTTCCATATATACTAAGATATAAAACGAATCTACAAATAAAAATGAAATTGTTTTTTAATTTAAAGAATTTTTGTCCAACTCACCAGATCTATGAATATAAAACGAATCTACAAATGAAAATAGAATTGTATTTTTATTCAATGCATTGATTCAGACTCACCGAATATATCGATATCACACGAGTCTAAAAATAAAAATGAAACTTTAATTTAGAAAATTGATTCAAACTTACCAAAATCGATCGATATTAAATGAATCTAAAAATAAAAATAAAATTTCAAGTTCATTTTGTAATTGGAGTAAACTCACCAGATATATTGAGATATAAAACGAATCTAAACGTAAAAGCGAAACTTCATTTCCATTTAGTAATTGAAATAAACTTACATGATGTATTGAAATATAAAACGAAGATAAAAATAAAATAAAATATTATTTTAATTTAATAAATTGATTGAAACTTACCGGATCTACCAATATCGCATGAATCCAAAAACTGAAAATAAAATTGTATTTTTATTTAATTCATCGATTCAAACTCCCTGAATCTATTGCCAGACAGCGAATCTAAAAGTAAAAATGAACTTTCATTCTTATTTAGTAATTCCAATGAACTCATCCGACATATTGAGTTATAAAACGAATCTAAAAAAAAAACAAAATTTCATTTTAATTTGATAAATTGATTCAAACTTACTAGATCTATCGATATCCCACGAATCTAAAAATAAAAATAGAATTTCATTTTCATTTAGTAATTGGAATAAACTCACCGGATATATTGATAAATATGGATCGAATCTCCAAACAAAGGTTAAAGATTGTATTTTTATTTAATAAATTGAATTAACTCACGCTTTTTTTCGATTTTCGAAACAAATCGATGAATTAATATGAAATTGTATTTTAATTTAATATTTGGAATAAACTTACGGGATATATGGCTATCTAAAACGAGTCTAAAAAGTAAAAGTGAAAATATGTTTTAATTTAATTAGTTGATTAGAACTCACCGAATTCCAGAGCCATGTTATGATAGAAAAAGAAAAATTAGGAAAGTGTTGTATTCATGAAATTAAATAAACACCCTGAATAGATAGAGAAAATGTAGTATTGAAAAGTATAAATGATAAGTTAGAAATATTTTATGAAATCATTTAAAATAACTCACCTACCTGTTGAGATGATTAGATAGGTAAGAAAAAAAAACATTTCATTTAACATCGAATAAATTATAGAATTCATCGAGATGAATTTACGACTGAAAGCATAAGAATAGTAAGCTTTCGAACGAGGTATGAAATGAAGGTACGACATTTCCTAAAGTGAAGCAGATTTTCGAGTTGATCATTAATATGATCTTAGATTATTGAAATCGAAGAGAATGAGATGGCTACTCAGATAGAGTTGATTGATAAAGCGGAGGAATTAATGTAGAAGCTTTTGATCAATATAATATGTTTCATCAGGATTTTGCTCAAGTGAAAATGATTCTATATAAGAAAATCTTTGCTTTTCAGCGTGCTTGTAGGGAAAAGTATCGTTAGTGAAGCGTTTTCTACTCATTATAGAGACGTTATTCGATAGATATGCAATCAGAAATAAAAAAATCAGCTTTCATAGCTATTCTGATGTTTTGTTCGATAGTTGAGGACCCTGATATCATTCAAATCGAAAAGGCTTAGAAAATAAGCAACCATTTGTGAATATGTAGTGTGAAATATGCTCATTGGATTCCATGTGAGTAGACTACTAAAATTCATCTCTAAAAAAGTATTCTAACTATTCTTTCTTCTAGTATTAAGACATCTTTATATTCATATATAATAATAGCATCAAATTCAGTAATAAAATAGACGTTCCAAAGCCTTTTGTTAAATAAAATTTAGAACAAATATAAAAAGCACGCTTAAATGGTCAACCTGTAGCTAAATTTCTCTTATACTGACAGTAAAAATAAAAGTTGTTCTTGAGCTAAGTCTCCAATGAATGCAATGTAAATATAAGCAATTTCATCTCCCTTCCAAAACGTAAAATTTTAGTAAAACTTCTAATAAATTATTCTCTAACGGAGAAATTATAAACAAGATTGTAGCATGATTAACGATCTTCTCTACATTTAGAGATTAGTGTTTTTTCAATATAATATTTTATTACTATTAGAAAATATGAAATAACCATTGTTTTTCTTATTTTACTTCGTCTATCGGTTACCCTCGACCAATCTCAAAATTAGTACGACACAACCTAATGAAGTTAAAGCGAATCATAATTAAACATAAGAGAAATTTCATTAATTTGTACTTTACACATTGAACCCTTCTTTTTATTCGACTATAGAACAAAGCTAGAAAGTGACTGAAGACAAGACAAAAGTATCAGATCCATGATTTATGTTCTTGTGAAAGTTATATGAAAACATATTGTTCATATGTCTTATAAATGACATTAATTTGTTAACATGTGGACTTAAGTTGCAGTTTTCTGTTTGTTTTAAAAGCCTATAATCTTTAGAAATAAACCAACTGTAATTCTCACTTAAGAATAGAAATTTCTGCAATTCATTCCTCCTGTAATTTTTGACATCCACGATAGCTACAATATAATTCTTACTTTAGCGAAACTCAACCAAAAAAGGAAGAAAAAAGACATATGGTAATTGTCTAATTTATTTATTTTGTTCCCGATTTGTTAATATTGTATTCTCTTTTATATTCCGAAGAATAAGATCAACAGTAAAACGCACAAATAACATTCCACTATTTATGAAGCATGATTTGGCTTCACATTTCATGGAACTGTTTACACAGGAACAATTTTGAATAATTCAATACGCAATTATTAATTAGATCGGTGTTTTGCTGTTTCATAAAAATGTTCAAAGCTGAGCATGAGAAAGAATATGAAAAAAATAAGGTTGAAATCCACATCTATCCTTTTGCGAAGTTTCTGAGATGTCAATCAGAAAATTGATGAAGGTATCAGAAAAGTTGAAATCCTTAGAAACTCTTTTAAGGGTTAACACAAAATTCGCAAACCTATTTTGATTTCCAATGATTCTATTTTTAAACTGGGTATTGTCGCAAACCCAAATCGGTATTCTATGATACCCTTTTTCAGATTGGGTATTTTTGCAAACCCATCTCGGTATCCTATTATACACTTTTTCACATTGGGTATTTTCGGAAACCATTTAGGAAATGAAAAGGTATTTTCGCATACCCTTTCGGGTATCAATCCAGTTTTAGTACTAATACGGGTTTTCGACAATACCTTTCCGATTTTCGAGAAACCTATTGGGTTTCCGAAAGCAAGAAAAAGGTATTCTAGAATACTTTTAGAGTGTTCAGTTGAGTATTGTCGGAAACCCTTGAGTTTCCAAACGTTCGGAAACCCAAAGGGTATTTTCAGAAACGCTTCCAAACTTCGAAAACCCCCTCGGAAACGGAAAAGGGTTTCCGAGTAGGTTTCCGAACCCCTTTGGGTTTCCTAGGATACGGAAATTTTTTAGAGTGTACAGAATTACAACTTGAACTTCAAGTAAAGAATTTTGTTTTTTCTATTATATATTCTTTATTTATTTTGAATAGATTGAAAATAATCGTACATTTATTGAAATGACTGAGACACCACTTTTATTTTGTCTAGAAAATTTTGAAAGTGAACCAAACAAAAAAGTAATTATTAAATATAAAATAAAAGAAAGACTTTCTTGATTATTAGACACAGGGACAACTTCGTCTTTATGATATTGATAACGAAAATAATACAACGATTTGGTCAGAAAATTTTCACTTGATATTACTAAGAGTACTAGTATGGCATCTTGTAAAGTACCAAATGATCGAGTATATATGGTAAATAAATAAAATTTAACAACAAAATAAAAGTTTCTAATATAGATTTGTGTGGATGTTATAACATCTTCATTTAGTTTAACAAAGATTGTTACATTTTCACCATCAATAGTTATTATTAATAAATCAACTGTATGTTTAAAAATTTTTTTGTTATTTAAAATAAAATGTTTTTTCTAAGGTTGAACTTGAAGTTGTCGAAACAATATCAGATAAAGAACAAGATAAATGGAAATCAGTTAATCCTAAAGAAGTAAAAAACAGATTTATTTTCTATTTTCTATTATGTATTAGTGTTTTCAAGATAATTTCATTTTGGTCACATAATATAAAAGATGGTATAATGTGTGTTCGTTACAAACACAATCGTGCAACATCAAGTCCATTTATGATGAATGAAAAATATAGAACACTTTTATCTATGAATGATAAAGAACGACCAGTAATTTATGTGGAAGTATCAGCAACTAATTTTGATAGTTTAAGAGTTATTTTTGGCGATTATAAAATTGATGATGCATCTCTTCTTGTTGTTAATTGTTTAAAAAATGATTCTGTTTCGTTGTTACGATCGTATTGTTCCCATACAATCGTAAGACGGAGAAGAGATACCCTTTCTAGTACAGTGGTTAATACGTCTGCCCGGTAAGCAGGAGGTGCATGGTTCGATTCCATGCGAAGAGGGATTCTTTTTCTCCGTTCTGTCGTCATTCGAAGATAAGAGACGTAACATTCGTTTTCTCCAATTAATAATGTGTAAGTTATTTTGATCTTTCAAAGATAATTTGATATTTTTTTCAAAATAATAGACGAACACAAATTTTACCACCACAAAATTATGTTTATTATGCATGGTTACATCCATCAAAATCAAAAGAATTAGTTATTTCATGTGGTTTGAAGAAAACAAAATTGGAACTAACGGTAAGAAAATTGAATTTATTTTTATTTGAGAAGATCATAAACAATAGAATTTTTTTAACTACAATGAGTTCTTTGTTAGAAATCAAAGAAAATTTTTTATTCTATAGATAATCTACAGCTTAATAAACTTTTAGAATACATCTCATGTAGCATCTTTGTTCGTAAGAGCAATAAACATGAGTGAGACGACGGGTTCAATTTTGTTAAAAAGAAGATTTAAGTCGAAGATTTGAAACTAAATGAGCTGTAGCATCGCAACAAAGCAATGAAAATAATGTGCGTTTTTCGTTAATTGAATGACCGGACAGTCATAGAATAATGGTCATACAATAGCTTCATGTCCAACTATCAAATCATTAATTTTGGTCCATTTCAATAACATGCGATACTATTAAAAACTAAAGTGAAAATTCTTCTAAAGATATCTTACGTTCAGCTAGTCTCTTACATGTAGTCACTATAATCTAATGATTATGACGTTTGTCATACCCGTCGAAAGTATAGTGTTTGAATCTTAGTATCATCAAACTATCGACTAGACCAAGTTAAGACAGCTATTTCTTATGATTAACTGATCATGACTAAACTGACACGTCAGAAAGATTAGTTTAGCAACAGGAAAGTTCTCCATTAAATCGACAAGCCTTCAATATTGATATAATACAGGTCTCTTTTTATCTATTTTGCACAAAAAATTGTATATTCCAAAAAGAAAATCTTTTAATTTTTTTTTTCAAATAGTATCAATGTGGTTTTCTTGGAAAAGATGGTGATCGTAATCTGAGTTATACTATATTTACTGTTGGTGCTCAAACTACTTTACTCGTTGCTGATGATCCAGAAATTATTGAAGCAGCTTCTGCAGTAGGTCTCTTAAGTTTTTTTTTTCTATTAAATAATCAATTTCGATGGACACTGATGTGTGGGTGTGGGTGTGTGCGTATGGGTGTGTGGCTGTGGGTGGGTGGTGTGGGTGGTGTGGATGTGTGTTGATGTAGATGTCATTACAGAGAAGATACCCATACCCACACCTACGCCCACCCACACCCCACACCCACACCCACACCCACCCACCCACACCCCACATCCACCCACCCACACCCCACACCCACACCCACACCCCACACCCACCCACACCCACACCCACACCCCACACCCACCCACACGCACCCACACCCACACACCGACACCCACACACCCACCAGAGATGTCCATCGCGGCTGAAAATCTGTGGCTGCCGCGCCGCGGCCTTAGAAAAAAAGCTGCCGCACCGCAGCCGCGCCGCGACGGTTTATAAAAAAATGTTGTCGCGGCGCTCCCGCGCCGCGATGGCTTATAAAAAAAACGTTGCCGCGCCGCTGCCGCGATGAATTATAAAATAAACGTGCCGCGGCGGTTAACAAAAAAGTGTTTCTAATTTCACCGCTGCGACTACATTTGACCAGAGATATTGGTACTAATCCATCAGATTCATTCAGTCTCGGGGTGTTTCATTTGTAAACCCTGAAATTCTATTACATTCATGCAGTTTTTCAATGTTCCCCAACAAAATCCTGCCGCTGCCGCGATGGTATTTTAAAAAACCTGCCGCTACCGCGCCGCTGCCGCGGTGATTTTTTAAAAAACCTGCCGCTGCCGCTGCTGCCACAGGCCATCGCGGCAGCGCCGCGATGGACATCTCTGATACCCACCCACATATACCCCAAATAAACTAGTAAATCTTTCTCAAGAATATAAGTCTTGTATTTTGTAATCAATAGTTTCTCTTCTAGTATGCTTCATATACAATATATAGATTCACACAACTAAAGTATTGATTTGTGTGTATAGATTTATGTGCGTGATGTAAGTTTCACTTTGAGTACATTATCAGAACGAAGAATTATTTGTTCAGTCGGTATAAAATTTTTATAACTTTGATTTGTTAGATAAAATCGACGAATGATTGTTGACAAAAATATTTTTTCTTCAAGCAAAGCAAAACGTTCACATTTCAAAACAAGAATACAATCAATATAAATAGGATTTGTAACATTTCTCTACATATTAATATAATTTCTAGCTTGTCTAGTTCAGGATAACGTTGGGAATCACGATAAATTTCATAGATAAATATTATAGCTGTTGTGCCTTTCAAAAAATCTTTTATCATCTAAATAGCAAGTACAGTAAAACCTCTCATAGTGGACACCTCTCTATAGTGAACACCCCCTTATAGTGGGCACTTAGCGGTTCGACGGAACGATTTTAGCTGGATTGAACCTCTGTATAGTGGACACCTCCATACAGTGGACACCTCCATACAGTGGACAACTCCATATAGTGGACACCTCCATACAGTGGACACCTCCATACAGTGGACAACTCCATATAGTGGACACCTCCATACAGTGGACACCTCCTTATAGTGGACACTTTTTCACGGTCCATCTTTCATAAATAACATCTGTATAGTGGACACTTTTTCACGGTCCCTCTTTCATAAATAACCTCTGTATAGTGGACACTAGCTATGAATTCAAAGAGAATGTCGCGATGTCTATCATTAATCATTCAATATAATGACTCTTCTTTATGGATCGTACGGCGGAATGGAAAAAAAGATACATCTCAGTGGTAGAGAAAAAACACGTTCTTTGTGTTGAATAGGGGAGACTGGTATACATATATAATCGCATTGAAAAATTTGTGTCCTTTTGTTACAAGTATTAAGAGAAAGAGATCATTATGTCTAATCGATGAGTGTTGACTGCGGAACAAAAGATTGTACTAATTAAGGGCAATTAAAGTGGTCATAGTTTATCAGGTTGATCTTTTTTGTGTCTGAGCAACAGACTCATCTGTACGATCATCTCTGATCTTGAATCACAATTAAGTGACATTTATCTATATTCGAAAGTGGCGAAAAACGCTCTCTCAAAGATTTTTGTGATAATTGTTGATCTTTCTATTTTTCAAAACTAAAATACATGAAAAGAAAAGTAATAATGTGCTCTATCGCGATTATTTTATTCTCTAATGCTCTAGATGTCTAGAAACATGTCGACTTGTTTGAAAAAGATGGTGGTTTTTGGGAAGCACATAACCTCCCTATAGTGGACACCTCTCTACAGTGGACACTTTTGAAAAGTCCGAAGAGTGTCCACTATAGAGAGGTTTTACTGTAATTCAAAAAGAAATCATTTTAACAAAAAATCAGAGTATATTGAAAAGTTTCTTGAATTTCTCGTCCAATTATAGGAACAGATAGTAGAAATCTTAATGTTGTTGAATATTCTGATGAAGTGTAATCACAAACTAAAGCAAAACTAAGTGCAGTTGCTGTTGTATTATGACCCTAAACATTTGTTCAAGTCATGCGTAAATTTTTTGTAACATGGAATTCTAATACATGAAAAATTTTATGAAATGAATTAAATAACGAAAAATAGTATTTTTTATTACAAAAAAAACTTTTGATTTGAATCATATTTTCTTTTATAAAAAACATGTTATAATGCAATTTTAAATTTTCGATCAGTATTGATCATCTTCAAAAATGATGTTCTATGATTATAATATAGTTGTATATAAATGAATAAATATCAATATCCTTTTTGATGCTCATATATGTCTATGCATGACAAATTATCAACAAGAAGAACAACTTGAGTATCAGAAGTAGTACCACGACCATTTATGAGTTCATTATGCATATAATTTAAGTTGTTACTCTAAATAGAGAGGAAGAATTTAACCATGCTTTTATTGCTAATAATTAATCCAAACATAATTTTTTCATCACATGGAATTTAATACATCAAGAATTAAGAAATAAGTTGAGTATCATAGAATAACATCTTTTGTTTTATTAAAATCAAAAAGTTTTGATTTCGATCATATATTAATGTATAGAATTCCTTGTTATAAAAAAACTCACGTTTATCTTTTTTCTTTCTGGATAAGTTTTTTCTACTTTACAGTGTCGAGGACATTGTTGAACAGACATTTTTCAAAAGGCACTGAAAATCCAATTCTTCCAACTGATCCGATCATAAATATTATATTCTTAGGGCATTCGATACTGATAAAAGATCCAAACTGTTGGAGAAAATTCGGTATATTCAAAATATAAATCTTAACAAATCTTAACACAACAATCTTTAGTACAAATCACGCGTCTTATTTCTAGATCTTCATAATTTGTCCTTCAGTCATACATTATTTCTTGCTTCGTTGATTACATTTTGAAATGGTAAGATAATGAGATAAATGATGATTCAACCTTGCAAAAATAATCAGGTTGCATCAATAAAATGCACAATAGTAATACCTTTTTAGATAGAAAATGAGACAAAAAAAAAAGTAATGGTACAGCACGTTTTTATTTCGCGCTCATGCGTAGTAATAATATCAAATCATAAAAGAGTATTAAGCGATTTTTAATTTTAGCCTTCACTTGCTATAATGTGAACGCTATTCCTGGTTTTTTTGCGAAATGAAATGTTGGGAACTCGTCAATGACGACATACAAGACTCAGACACGTTTCCTTTTTAACAATTGATTTGGGAGACGAAAAAAAGAATATTTGAAAATTATGTTGCTTCAATAAGTAACAAATGTCAGAAAAGAAAACACTATCGACAGCAGTTCTATCGTAGTCTCGACAAATCTCACTGCACAACTCTCAATATTTATGAATGACGATTAGTGTAAACAATTGAGTAAGAAAGTTTACTGGCATTTTCATTCCAATTCAGAGCTGCATCGTCATCGATTGTTGGTAAAAGAGTGCATGATCCTTTGTGAAGCTTATCAATTGCAGAAAATTATCAGCTTTTTAAAAAAATTATCAGTAGCATTAAAAGATCATAATCAATGATGTTTACTTTTCTATTTTGGTTATTATCAATTTTTCTCATTCTCTTTGATTTCTTTTCTTTGTTCTTCTCCTCTCTGTTGTTGTTGTTGTTGTTGTTGTTGTTGTTGTTGCTATTATTGCTATTATAAGGGATTAACGATAAGTATACTTTGGGGCAAGAAAGAGTAGTCGATGCAAATTTACATTTTGTCGATTCTGTGTGATAATATAAAGAAAAAAATAAGTTACTACGTGATGCAGTTTACATTTTGGTGGACATTCATCTGACTCTTCATCGTTATTGATCGATCGATGTGAACGACGGGTGGGGGGCAGAGGAAGTACAACGACTGTAATATTTGAATGAAATAAACTGAATAGGTGATCTATATTCTATGCGCCACTAATCCAAATACATACATTTACATTCAAAACTCAAACGTATTTTGCGATATATATATATATATATATACAACACTATTCGTTACTCTCACTCATACAACAAAGTTGATAAATTATCCTTATTCTGCTGATAAATATACACGGTTTCACAAGACTTCAACAAGTAAGTTTATGTTTTTCGAAAGTACAGTTTATTGAACTAATATGTTGTAAATCTTCAAAGTTTCTAATAAAATCTGTAAGAGAGTGTCTATGCGAAGATTGGCGATCATAGCAGTATATGAGACACATTTAACTGTTCATTCCAAATACGATACGAAACACAGAAACAACCCGTATTATCGATCAGTAGGGGTGTGGGTATTCATTTCCAGCACACCCACACTCTGAACTAGATCAATTTTTATTTTCTTTTTAACATTTTAATAAAATTACTTTCACTTTTTTTAGTCCCTAGGCTTGCTTGTGCGTGTCGAGCGCATTTTATGGGCTGTAAGTAGAACCACCACTTCTGTACAGTGTTATTTTCTCGATTATCTGTAATTTTTTTCGTTGAGAAAAAAACTTCCCTCAACTCTTGTTGAAATTAACGGTACAAATTCATTAAGCTTAGGCTATTCACCTCAGACATCTTCCGTTAGGTAGACAGTCAATCAAGTTTTCTTGAGTATCACTGCAAAAATACAACAATTCGGTACTTTATTATTTTCCCATCCAGAAAAGTTCATTGGGCTGAAATATAAATTTCATGTTGCACAGAAAATTAATGCATCAGAGAAGGGTCGGAATGCCAAAGGTATTTACTGATTTTGGCCCGTAAATTATTTTCAATCAGTAGACTGGTGAAGTTATGTAGAAAAATGAGTAGAACTCTTTAGCAATCAATTCAAATAAAACTCTGATAATTCGAAGTGACGATGCGAGTAGAATACTTAGACAAAAGCCTTGAACTTTCATTACAGGCGTAATTGTTTACTATGAGCCAGCAATGTAGAACCCTTCGCAAGCATCCAACCTCAATTTGAACTGCTTGTAAAAAAAAACATTTTAATTATGCGTCGTTTCGTATGGAAATCACTATTGCTTCACTATCATTTCATTAAAATGATCTATGATGCTTATATAGTCTACTACTGAATAATGATTAGACTTATTTGACACATTGCTCGATGCCGGATGCTCTTTTTTTTTATTCCTTGCGAGATATCACTATGTTTTCGTTCCAGATCCTGAACAGACCTAATAAAGACTCTTTCAGAATTCACTCTCTCTCTCTCTCTTTCTGAGTAAACGACTAAAGAAGCAGTGTATGGATGTGACAGTGACAATGTGAGCTTAGATAAGATGCCGCATATCTACACCCAATTTGAGTATTTTTTAGTAAGCGACTGATTTTCACGATGTCTGACCACGATAATCAACAGTCTGCGTCTTCATCACCATGGATCAATATCGTTGATTCAGCCGTGCAACAACTATCACAATCATCATCTAAATCACCGCATCTTGCCATAAACATAACAAGCCGTCTGTCGAATTTATCTTCCTCATCCGAAACACGCGATTCGTCAGGAAATTGGCGTCACCTTGTCAGCAGGTACGTAGTTCTTACATTTAATGAATAACAAAAATCTGTGCCATGTTTTTCGAAAAAGTTATTATTCAAAGTCCATACCACGTCGTCATATCGCTGAAATTCAATTGCACGCATTATTAAACGATCCTGAAGTATCTTTACCTACATCTATTCATGGAGCCGATATGTTGTCAATTGAAGAGGTTTCCAAAAGACTTCAGTCTCAGCCGTTTATCGTCAAACGACTATTCAGCGTTCTGAAATCATTATCTGACAGTGACGATTCAACACTAATGAGCAAGAGCAATGTAATCAAGTTAACACGTATTCTTAACAGCACTGTAGATGTACGAGCTCTGATGTTTTTCATGATGATCGATGAAAACGGTGATGACCATGTGACTACCAATGAATTTGTTCTATTTCTAGAACACTATTTTGAAAGTATAGTATCATCTAATAATAGTAATTTGAAAGAAGCCCTTCAAATACTTATTCAAAGATTTCATCTTGAAACAGTAAGTTATGTATTTCTAACATATTTTTGTTTCAATATTTTCTTTCATTAAAGAAAGCTCAAATCGATTTTGAAGAGTTTCATTCGATCATCACTGAAGATGAAATGATACTCAAAGCTTTCTCTCGATTTACAGTTCATCCAACTTGGTTCTTAGAACCGACCGCACCTCCTCCTAAACCCAGTCGCATGGAACAATGGTATAGTACCTACAAATCAAAATTTACGAAGGAATACCTGAAAGAGAATATATCACGCATCACATGGCTCATTCTCTACTTGCTCGTCAACTTAGCATTAATTCTTTATGTCACCATTTATCGATCGATCTTCATGAAAGACGGTGTGTTTCTAGTGCTTGCTCGTATCGGTGGGATGTTACTAAACTTTAATTGTACATTATCGATTGTTGCCATGCTGAAACAAACCATTCTATTTATTCGTTCCAAAAAACGCCTTCGCCAACTGATATATATAGACGATCATATTGATTTTCATAAAGAGGTGGGACGAATTGTTGCAGCTTTGGCTATTTTTCATACGGTAGCACATATGATAAACTTTGGACGAAACCGAGGTGAGTGTCTTTATTATTTGTGACATTATGACTTAATGGTGTAATGTTCTTCTAGTGTACTCATGGGCGACTCTCATGGTAAGCTCACTAGAGAAACTATTCATTAGATTGTTTTCATGTTATCCTTTGGATAGTTTACCACAATTCCTGGTATCGGATGGGTTGGTGGATTTGCATCACTCAGTGGTGTTATTTTATGCGTTATTCTTGCCATAATGGTCATATTTTCAATGAATTGGATTCGAAAAAGAGGCAAATTTACGGTAAATAAAACTAATCTCTATTAAAATAAATATTCACATCTATGTTCAAGATTTTTTATTGGACACATCGTCTGTATCTCGTATTCTACATATTTTTAATTATCCATGCTCCTAACTTTTGGGTGAGTATTCTATCC